TTTTAGGGTTCTTTTTTCTCCTATTATTAATGTTTTCTAGTAAATGTGAACCAATAAAGCTGACTTAGGACAAAAGCTGACTTCCAGTCTTTGCAGATAAGAGAGGGTCCTGGGTGACATGGGGGTCATAGTGCACTCTACAAGGAATAGCAAAATGGGAATTCCCAACGTCTTTAGACACAGTAGGTTGCTTTTGAAAGTAAATATATATTCACACACTTTTAATTTTCTTTCTTCCTTACCTGGTGACACATAAAGAACTTGGGTATACAGAGGTGGTTACTTTTCAAACACATGCTGTTCAAAACTACCTCTATAAGAAGGAGGGCTGAGTGAGTGGGCAATTCCCATCCAATCTCTGGCAGCTTCCCTATGTGAGAAGGAAACGGGAGACCATCACATACTCCATAAAGTGCCACTGGACACTATTATATCTTGTCTGTAAGTTTTTTGGGTTAGGAATCTTCTCCTTTAAGTTCTATCCTATTCTCCAGGAATTACTGAAGTTAAACAAGGTTTGCAGACCAGATTAAGCCCTGGCAACCCACCAAAGTTCAGTGCTTCATACCACCAGAGATAGTTGCCATGGCTATTTGTTTTATATAATGTGAAAATTCAGAAGGTTGTATAATTGAGGGCAAACTGCTAATTGCTCAGGGTATATCTTAGTTGTGCTATATCATGTTCATTTTGTTAGGAATCCGAATTTAGATAAAAAGAACAGGTTTTGATTGCAGGAGCTTGGGTCATAGACAGATATCATCACGACAATGGTAAAGTGAGATAGATAGTATTATCTCCATTTTACAGATGAGGACATTGAGGGCTAGAAAGGTTACATAACTTCTTCAAGGTCACACAGCTAGTGAATGCTGAAGCAGGGACTTGAACCAATGGAGTCTGACTGCAGATGCCAAATGCTTAAACCTTACATCTTTTTTATTCTCCCAAACAGCTAAGATATTTGCAAACTTCTGTATATGAACTTGGTTATATACTATATGATATGAGGCAATTATGACATCCTTCATATTGCTTGAGACACAGTAGGACGTTACGACATCATAATTGGAAATGCAGTTCTAGAAAACAGAGATGTGAAAGTTTTTGTGTTC